GTACCTCAGGACGGCCCCAGCAGCGCGAGTTCCTTCTTCTCGCAGTCGCTGGCCAAGGCCGCCCGCCCGCGGGCATCCCAGTTGTCTGCCGACGGCAGCTCTCTGGTGGCCTTCGTTGTGGCTTTCCACCCCTCCCTCCTTTTCTGTTTCATATCTTGCTCCTCCCCTCCTCTCCTTGCTCCTCTCTCATCTCTCTTCTCTTTCCTCTTGCCACTCCTTCCTCTCATTACAGCTACTCAGCGCGAGCACGTACTGTCCTCCTCTCCCCTGACAGCTCGCTCGTGCGCTCCGTCCTCTTTCGCGCATTGCATGCTCAAATAGCTACATTATATGGTGTTGCCTATGTTTTTTTCGGTCGGAACACTATCGCTTTTCATATATATATGTATATATATACAAAGTGGTGCTCCCGCTGCAGAGTTTTGGCGACATTTCAGGATTGGTGCTCTGCTCCCGTCGATCGGGACGGCGCTCTCGCTCCGGCGCGGGCCTCGCTGCAGGACCCGGTTCCTTCTTCGTCGTCGCCGCCCCCTCCTTTCCCCTCCTCCCTCCTCCTCCTCCTCTTCCTCCTCCTCCTCTTCCTCCTCCTTTTCCTCCTCCTCCTCCTCCTCCTCCTCCTCCTCCTCCTCTCCTCCGCCTTCCGCTGATCTTCCTGCGACTTCTGTGAGCATCCGGCTCATTCTGCTCCTGCTGCTGCTCGTCGTGCCGCTCCTCCACTTCCTTTCCTCCTGCTGCCCGTCCTGCTCCTTCTCCTCACTTTCCTCGGTCCTCCTGCTCGTAGTCATGCTCATGCGCCATCTTCTCCTCCAGGGTGCAAAGCTCCTTTCTGATGGCGCAGCACACGATGGGGCATCACAGGACTTGCGTCTGTAGTCCGGCGATTGCAGACCCGAGGATATATTAACCTTGTGTGGTTGCGAGAAGATACTTTGTATACGCTATGCCTGGTTGTTTGCCTGAACAAAAGAATAGAGCACCCCGCGGATACATCATTGCAATTGGGAAGCATGGGCGGGAGGGGTCGGGTGTCACAGGATGCCGGACATGGCGCGAGTGCACCTAGCTTGTTCCCCTCCTCTCCCCCTCTCCTCCGCTCCCTCCCACCTCTCCTCTCTTCTCTCTCCTCTCTCCTGCCCCCCTTCTCTTTTGTGCATTGCCGGTCACCGTGAGAGCTGCTATCCCCTTTACCCCGTCGACGTGCACCCATCGCGCATGTTCTTTTCACGCTCGTGCCGATCCACTGCCCCTCTGTTATGAGGCCGTTGTATAGGAGAGGGAACAGAGGACAGAGTGTTTACACAGTTTTGAGGAATTAGTGAATTCAGCATGGGTCCGGCTTGAAGTGCCTCGAAGAAAGCGCGCGCACCCGAGTCGCAGACATATGGCTATATGCGGACCCGGGACACTTGCTTCCCGTCGTCGTCCTCGCCCTTGCTCCGTTCCCCTTCCTTTCTTCCCTCCCCTGGATGGTGTCGAAAGCGTCCGCGGCTCGGGCGGGGGAGCGCCCCTTCCCACCTGCCTTATTATTCCTCGTTCCTCTTTGCCTCCCTGCTCCACCGTCCGTCGTCCTACCTCGCCCGCCCTCCTTCTTCGAAAAATGAAGTCCCTGGTGCCGCGTGCCCGCGTCAGCGGTAAATGCTTTTTCGATATCCGAGCACAGCGGCGCAACCAAACAGAGGGGATTGCCAATGCGAGAATTCGGGGCGCACCCAAAATGCGGGCGGCACGGCCGCCGAGCACAGTCGCATCGCTAACATGTAAATTATAAGTGCCTACGGCAAGGTCCTCCCCCCTGCCGGAGCAGTGGTCTATATGGCGACGCGTGGAATTTTGACTGTTAAGAGGTCCGTGACATGTGACATCTCTCGTGTTTTCGGACTGCTGCGCGGCATTCTTCGTGGTCCTTCGAGGCCTTTTGGGGCGTCTTCGGGCCGTTGGGGGCCGCTTTGGCGCCGCGTTGCACCGCGGCCGCCTTGGGCCACAGAAGCGTGTATTTGCGGTTCTCTCGGGGGCGCCCTGGGCCGGGAAAGTGTGTATTCGCATTCCCCCCCAACTGGGCATGTCAACCTCGGTTCTGGGCTGGCGAAGTCGGGGCGCCCTCGAGGTGGCAAGCGTTTACCTTTTCGAAATACACAGATCAAGGTGTGATCTGTGTACACAGTTTGTGTCTTCAACTGTGTATTTTCGTGTGTAGGCCCGCTGTTTACACAGATCGTGGTGTGATCTGTGCACACAGATCTCGTTCCCATCTGTGTATTTGGAGTGTGCCCCTCGCGGGTGGTGTTGAATGGGCGGGAACTTTCGCGTTTCTCTTCCGGCTGGTCCAGGGGGAGCGTCGTGCGCGGTCGAAATACACAGTTCGTGTCTCCAACTGTGCATTTGTTGCGCGCCGTTCGCTGGAGTGGTCTATGGGCGGGAGTTTCCGCGGGTCTCATGGCTGGTCCAGGAGGGGGCCGTGGTCTGGGCATGCAAAGGCGCGGGGGGGTGTGGATGGTGGGCTGTGGGAAGGAAAGGGGTTCGATAGGGGGGGTGGCCGAGGGGCCAAGGATGAGCGGGACTGGACGAGAGCGGAGGACATGAACCCAGGAGGATTTGCATCATCGGTGTCAGCATCACGAGGGCGAGGGGGGTGGGGGGGGGGCAGAGGTTGGGGGCATGATGTGCATTAGGGCGTAGAGGATGGGAGGAGGGCGGGCATGTAGACGATGGGGGAACGAATCCGGCGCAGGAGGACGACGAGGAACGACGTGAATTGGCACATGGGGGGGAGCAGTGTGGATGAAGGGCACGATGAGGACCGGGGCAGTCGGAGGGCATGAGGAGGGCGGGGCCGCAGCGAATGGATATTTGGAAGAGGCGGGGGGTGGGGCATGAGTTCGAGGCGGGCGCCAGCTAACGATTAGCTGAACAGTGTTTTGCGTGTCCGTGCGCCCCCAGAACACAGTGACTGGTTGCAGAACTTCGTGATATGGGTAATCGTGCGTTTCGTGCTTCCAGGCCAAAGGCTCGAGTCCGCGACGCCCCTTGGCGTCGCGATGGTGCCGCCCCGATTTGCCAGACCGCATATGCACAGATACGCAGAATTTGTGTCGCTACGTTTGTTTCATGACCCTCTCTATACTAACAGACCCACGCTGGAATCCACCTGAGGAGGTGGAGGAGGGGGAGGGGGAGGGGGACAAGCTAGGTGCGCTCGCGTCATGTCTGACATCCTACCCTTCCCTCCCATCCCTTACCATGGCGTAGATCCCCTCTCTACTCGCACAGTCGGATGTTGAACAGGGCAAAGATCCCGAAAGGGTACGCGATGCATTGTAGAGCACGGCATGGCATGGCGTAGAAGAGCACCGCAAAGCGTAGTATGTCACAGCATGGCGTGGCGTGGCGTAGCGAAGAGTTGCATCACAAAACTTTGCAACGCAAAGCATGGCATCGCACAGCGGCCCCGGACATAACATTGCATAGCATGGCGTTGAAGATCAAAGCGTAGCATGGCATAGCATGACGTGGCACTTACGCACTGGATATGACTGCTGCAGCTGAAGGCATGGCATCGCGCAGCGGAACGCAACCTAGCATTGCATTGCATGCCGTGGCATGGCACGGGAAATGACGCCAGCGCTGCAGCGGGAGCACGATTCGGAACGAGCGGAAGCGCGGAAATGAGGCCAGCGCTGCAGCGGGAGCACGATCCGGAACGAGCGGAAGCACGGAAATGAGGCCAGCGCTGCAGCGGGAGCAAGATTCGGGACGAGCGGAAGCCCGAAAATGAAGCCCGCGCCTCAGCGAGAACATCATTTTGAAAAACAGCCCAAGCGAAAATCCAACTCCGGGAAATCCTGTGCGTAAAAAACATTCCGCGGACGGGTGCCCGCTATCTTCCGCACGCCATCAGGGGATGGAGGAGAGTAGTATTCAGATTGTGTAGTTGTGGAGGAGGAGGAGGAGGACGAGGAGGAGGAGGAGGAGGAGGAGGAGGAGGAGGGGGGAGGGGGACGGGGTGTGGAGTGGAGTGGAGCCCGTTGCGCAAGCAAGTTCATCCAACCGATTACCCATGAAAGTGTGTTCGACTTCCTGGCCTTCCTCTCGGCCTGGCTGAGGACCTTTGGCTTCAGACCAGCCGCAAGTCTGTCGAGGTATTCTCTCTGGGTGTTATTCCTCTGCTCACGACAGGGGCGGCTCCAGAGGCGAACTTGCTTCTCGGCTACAGCCCCGCAGCACGTGCAAAACCACATTCTGAGGGTAGTGTGCACGTTGAGTGTGTGAGTGGGGTGCGCCCACGCCCGCATTCTGTGGATACGGTCGCCCCTCTTAGGAGACATTATAACACCATCTGCATTACAGTTGTGGACACTGGGTGGGCCGCCAGGCCTTCATACATTCTTTAGTGGCAGAACTGAAACATGTCAAATACCTACACTTATACTATGTTAAAGTATGTGGGGAGAGAAGGGAGGCGGCAGCAGCAGCAGAGGGAGGAGGAGGAGGGGGAGGGCCAGCAGCAGCAGAGCGCTCCCTTCTCCTCGATCCCTCGGCCTTCTCCGTGGCCGCCATGCTGTCGGTTGCAGCACGAAGGAGCCTGTGTCTGACCAGGTAGGCCCGCCTCTCGTGCATGTAGATACGATGCCGATCCCTCTCTGGGACCCTCGCTTCCGATGCTGCGTGTCCCGCAACTTCATCAGCCACTGCACTGCCTATGACAAGGCCCTGCACTCCCTTGCCGTCGCACAGCTCCTGCGCCGTAAGGTGGGAGTGGGTGAACAGCACGACCACGGAACGTCCGCGCACGAGCTTACCCACCTCCCACCATATGTCCGCGTCCTCGCCCCATGGGGCGTTGTACTTCTTGGCATACCAGCCTTCCGCCACCATGTCGCAGTCCGTGACATACGTGAGGGCCCCCGTGGCACAGAACAGCGCCACGTGGAAAGCTTTCGGCTCGCCCCTGGCCACGACTTGCCTGGGCTCCGTTAGGGGCCCAACCACACACGAATGGGCCAGCGGGCGCTCCGTGCTCAGCATCCTCACCAAGGGCGCCCTCGAGGGCGCGAAGTTAT